TGTGTTTAGAATATCTGTCGATTGTAGAAAGCGCTACATTCAAGGCATCAAGTATAAGTGTATTATTATCTAAGTATGTCTTAACTTTGGTTATTAATTGATTGATATACTTGGTGGCTCCCACATTCAGGGCATAAATATTCATGATTGTTAGGTCCTCTTGTTGGATAGATCCTTTAAGTATGATATAGTGTCCCTCTTCATCTCTTACTACAGTCTTTGGGATAAACTTTAATTTATCTGATATAAGGATGGCTACCCCTGCTTTCTTTTGAGGACCATTTGAATGGTAAATGGTTCTCCACCCTTTCATTTTCAGGCTGTAGGTGTCCTTATGTCTAAAATGAGTCTCTTGTAGACAGCAAATAGATGGGTCTTGCTTTTTTATCCAGTCTGAAACCCTGCGCCTTTTTTTTTTCCTGCGCCTTTTGATGGGGTCATTAAGCCCATTCACATTCAGAGTTACTATTGAAAGATATGAATTTAGTGTCATCATGATACCTATTCAGTCCCTGTTTTTGTGGATGTTTCTGTGGACTTCCTCTTTCTTTTACAGAGTCCCGCTTAATATTTCTTGCAGAGCTGGTTTGGTGGTCACATATTCTTTCAGTTTCTGCCTATCTTGGAAGCTCTTTATCTGTCCTTCTATTCTGAATGAGAGCATTGCTGGATAAAGTATTCTTGGCTGCAGGTTCTCCTCATTTAGGACCCTGAATATATCCTGCCAGCCCTTCCTGGTCCGCCAGGTCTCTGTGGAGAGATCTTCTGTTAACCTAATACTTCTCCCCATGAAGGTTAGAGATCTCTTGCCTCTTGCTGCTGTAAGGATCTTCTCTCTATCTTTGGAATTTGCAAGTTTCACTATTAAATGTCGAGGTGTTGAACGGTCTTTATTGATTTTAGGGGGGGTCTCTCTATCTCCTGGATCTGAATGCCTGGTTCCCTTCCCAAGTTAGGGAAGTTCTCAGCTATGATTTGTTCAAATACAGTTTCTGGACCTCTGTCCCTTTTGGCGCCCTGGGGAACCCCAATTAAATGTAGATCTTTCCTTCTGAGGCTGTCATTTATTTCCCTTAATCTATCCTCACGATCTTTTAATTGTTTTTCTCTTTTTTCCTCAGCTTTCTTCCTTGTCATCAACTTGTCTTCTATGTCACTCACTCGTTCTTCTACCTCGTTAACCCTTGTCATTAGGACCTCCAGTTTGGATTGCATCTCATTTAATGGATTTTTAATTTTGGCATGATTAGATCCAAATCCTGCAGTCATGAAGTCTCTTGAATCCTTTATGCTTTTTTCCCAGAGCCACCAGTAGCTTTATAATTGTGCTTCTGAATTGGCTTTCTGACATCGAATTGTAATCCAAATTCTCTAACTCTGTGGCAGAGAGTACTGTTTCTGATACTTTCTTTTGTGGTGGGTTCTTCTTTCTAGTCATTTTGCTCAGTGCAGAGTAGGTAAAAACAAATTGTACTGGAAAAAGGAAGAAAAAAAAAGAAAAAAGGAGAGAGAGAGGAAAAAAAAGGAGGGGTACCCTCTGATTCTATATATTGTAAATCCTTCGTCTTCCCCTGGAGCTTTCCAGGGCTGGTTGGTCAAAACCTTGCTTTTCCCCTGTCCTTCCAGCTGGTCATCTGGGGGAGGGGCCTGCTGTGCTGATTCTCAGGTGTATGCACCTAGGATGGCTGCCCCGCCTCCCGCCAGGTGCACGGCTCAGTGGGAGCTGTTTATCCTGTGACGCCTCTGTTCCCTGGTGGCTCTGTTCCCAGGCAAAGGGTGACACAGGGAGGAACAACCACACTGGCGGCAGCCAGCTCTCCAGCCCTGGAGTCAGCTCCCGCAGTAACCACCGCAGCTCCCAGTCGGCAGGGGCCTGGATGCTCCAGTGGCGGGTCACTGACCTGCACAGCTCCAGGCGTCAACCAGCGGCAGGAGCGTCCTCAACGTCCTGTGTCCCCCGGCCTCCGCCTGTCCCGAGGGAGCGCAGGATCATGGGCTGTGTCCCCCCGGCGTCCTGGGCTCCGGGGCCTGCGCCGCTGGGATCCGGCTCCTGGGCCCCTCTATGCCGGGCGGGCTCCAGCCCTTTACCCTGTGGGGTGTGGGTGCTCTCTCCCGGGCGCACCTCCTCTGTTAGTGACCCCGGGAGACTGGAGGCTCCATCACCCCTCCTGGGATCCTGCTCGAGTTCCCTGCTGAGCGCCTTTCCATTCGGAAAGAATCTGGTGCAGATTCTTGAAGTTCCTGCTTCTCCGGGGCTGGGCTCCCCTGTCCCGGGGGTTCTCACCACCCGGCCTTAGTCCAGCTCCTCGCGGGGCCCCTCCCCAACTTGATTCTTTTTTATTTTATTTTTTTCTGTCTTCCTACCTTATTAGAAGTGCAAACTCTTCTGTCTGTGGTATTCCAGCTGTTCTCTCTTTAAATCTCAGGCCGAATCCATAGGTTTTCAGACTGATTTGAAAGTTATCTAGGGAAGTTGGTGGGGACAGGGGACTTGGGGACCCTACTCCTCCACCATCTTGCCCCGCCCTCCCCCAATAAAAATCTTTTAAAAAGATTTTGTTTTACTTATTTATTTATGAAAGACCCAGAGAATTCAGAGGCAGAGACATAGGCAGCGGGAGGAGCAAGCTTCCCCCAGGGAGCCTAATGCAGGACTCAATTCTAGGACCCCAGGATCACGACCTGAGCCAAAGGCAGATGCTCAAACACTGAACCACCCAGGTGTCCCTCAATAAAAATATTTTAAAAAATAAAAATTTAGAGGTTTTTTGGGGAATAACTCAATCTGGGTTGAAAACGCTTACCTTTGTTTTCTTTCTTTTTTTTTTAATTTTATTTATTCATGAGAGACACAGAGACATAGGCTAGGGATGCAGAGACATAGGCAGAGGGAGAAGCAGTCTCCATGCAGGGAGCCGGATGTGGGCCTCGATCCCAGGACTCCAGTATCACACCCTGAACTGAAGGCAGACACTCAACCGCTGAGCCATCCAGGTGTCCCTTACTTTTGATTTCAACAGGATCTATAACACACCAATATTATTATGCTCATTTCTCTGTATTGCAATCATTTGGTTCCCTACTCAATTTGTGCACAGCAGAAAATAAACTCACATTGGATTAGAGTTCATGGAATCAAAGTGAATTAAAGCCGCATCAAATAAGTCTTTCCTCTCTAACAAATTATAATTTTTGAGAAATCTTTCAGTCCTAACTATATTCCCGATAGCTAGGTCCCTTCTATTTCCTCCAAAAATTTCTCCTTTCATGATATTGTCTTGACACATTAAAGGCTTTATCACTTGTCTTAGCTTGGGTTCTCAGAGAAACAAATGCTGAGCCAAGGTTTTTATGTGCAAGTGTTTTATTGGTAGGAACAAAGAACATGGAACATGGGTGAGAGAGAAGTGATACATGGAAGAAATACATCTGTCAAGTTTATATTAAGTCAGCTACCACAGAGAATGAGCAGAATTTTCATCCTGTGGGGAAATTCTGGAAAGTGGTACAAAATACAAATCTAAGAATTATCCTAGCTAATGGATGAAAGACAATGAATCCCATAGCTCTCCATCAAGGGCTGTCTTTGTGTGAGCATAATTCCCTGGAGGTTCTGCCACCACCTATTGGGCAAATTTGGTTCTGGATGGGGTTGGCAATTGGCAGTCACGCAGTGGATATGGTGAGAGGATCTCAGGGAATGTGGGAGAAATGTGGACAGCATCTATTACCCCAACCTTCACTGAACACTCAATTCTATCAACATTATTCTCAAATGAGCTAACTTCTGAACACATTCCACATGTGTGTAACTACCATTTCTGATGGCATCTCCAGAGAGTCCCAGGAAAAAAAAATAAACCATGTAAGAAAAATAACTTTTATTCTATTGTATTCATTATTACATGATTTAGGATCTTAGAGGGTGTATCTTAAAATTGTATATATGGGAATAAAAGTCAAATAAAAGAAGGAAATGAAGAAAGAAGGAAAGATGGAAGGATCACAAAGAATGAATCTAGATCTCAGAGTTTTCTTAAGCAGTATATTAGTATTAATATAATAAGAGAAATCTAGATTCCTATTTTGAAGTTGAAAATCACATCACTGTTCTTACAAAAAGTAGGATAGAAACTCCATGTCAGCTAGCCAGGTAACAATCCCAGTCAACCTCATTCTCTTCTTTTGAAAAGTGGGGTGAATGAATGGAAATATCTCCAAGACATGTTTTCAAGATGATGTAAAGTCATACATGTGAAGGAACAGGCACAGTTCTGATATGGTAAACACTGGTATGACCATGTAAGACTTCATTCCATTTCTTGCGGGGAAAACAAGCCCACAAGCAAATGAAGGTGAAGAACATCAACATTTTATTTATTTATTTTTTTATAATAAATTTATTTTTTATTGGTGTTCAATTTACCAACATACAGAATAACACCCAGTGCTCATCCTGTCCAATCATGAAATGGGCAAAAGACACAAAGAGAAATCTCACAGAGGAAGACATAGACATGGCCAACATGCACATGAGAAAATGCTCTGCATCACTTGCCATCAGAGAAATACAAATCAAAACCACAATGAGATACCACCTCACACCTCACACACAGTGAGAATGGGGAAAATTAACAAGGCAGGAAACCACAAATGTTGGAGAGGATGCGGAGAACATCAACATTTTAGAGTATAATTTTGGGGGCAGCCACAGCAGCACTTGATATGATGAGTACTTTAAACCTAAAGTTAGAAATCTTAAGAATGGCTACAAGAAAGCTGATAAAACATGGAACTTTTTGGACAGCATATAGGGAAGAAAAGTCAAAAAGGACTACAGAGGGATTGTTGAGGAGAGACTAATACAAAAACAAAAAGGAAATCATGGGTACTTTGGGAATTAGATAAATCAAAGATGTCTATTAAAGGAGAAAAATATTTAAATTCACATTTGCCTTTGGGGCCTGCAATGTCCACTTGGTTCTGAGGCCAGTGGCCCATCATGGACATGAGGCTGCTCTGTTGAGGAGCCTTCGCAGGGTGCCCTTCACATCCTTGTTCCTCAGGCTGTAGATAAAGGGGTTCAGCATGGGGGTGACCACAGTGTACATCACTGATGCAACTGAGCTTCTCTGGGAAGAATGGGTCACAGCAGAAGTGAGATAGACCCCCAGGCTTGTACCATAGAACAAAGAGACCACAGAAAGGTGAGACCCACAAGTGGAAAATGCTTTATACTTGCCCTCAGTGGAAGACATCCTCATTAAGGAGGAGACGATCTGAGAGTAAGAGAAAAGAATCCCAGTGAGAGGAAAAACACACAGCAGAGCAGTGGCAACATACAAGCAGATGTTATTGATGAGGGTGTCAGAGCAGGCCACCTTGAGAATCTGAGCCAGTTCACAGAAGAAATGTGGAAGTTCAGTGCCTGTACAGAAGGTCAGCTGCCCTACCATTAGAATATGAATCAGGGAGACCCAGAAAATGGTGAGCCAACAAATCAGAACCAGGAGGACACAGAGTCGTGGGTTCATGATGATGGTATAGTGCAGAGGGTGGCAGATGGCCACAAACTGGTCATAGGCCATCACAGTCAAGAGGAAATCATCCATTCCAGCAAAAATCATAAAGAAATATACCTGAGTGATGCATCCTATATAGGAAATGTCTTTGCTGTGTACCTGGATGTTTAGCAGCATCTTCGGGACAGTGGTGGAGATGAAACAGATGTCAACAAAAGACAAGTTGGAGAGGAAGAAGTACATGGGTGTGTGGAGGTGGGAATCAGAAAGGATAGCCAGGATGATGAGCAGATTTCCCAGTACAGTCACCAGATACATGGACAGGAACAAGCCAAAGAGGAGAGGCTGCAGTTCTGGATCTTCTGAGAGGCCCAGAAGGAGGAATACTGATACTTCTGTCTGGTTTCCTGCTCCCATGTAGCTGGTCTGTTTGCTGGAAAAGGAGACAAAAGCAACCCTCAATGAACAGTCAGCTGTCACTTCCTAGTATTCACCTTTGATCCCACTTTGCATGGACATCCTTCACCTTCCACTATTCCTTCCAATGCCAGTGACTCATTCATTGAAGTGGCAACCCATTTCTATTTTATTTTTTAAAAAGCTTTATTTATTTATTTATACATGAGTGACAGAAAGAGAGGCAGAGACACAGGCAGAGGGAGAAACGGGGCTCCCTGCAGGGAGCCTGATACAGTACTCTATCCCAGGACCCTGGGATCAGGACCTGAGCCAAAGACAGGAGGCTCAACCAAAGACCCACTCAAGTGCCCTACCCATTTCTATTTTAAATGTGTATAATCATTCAGACTATATTCAACTTAGCAGAAATCTTTCTCTTTTTATCTGCTACTCACTGGTTCTAGTTCTTCTATTCAATCTATGTATATAAACCAATTTCTTCTTTGGTATGATCTTCCAAAATAATTGAAGACATTCTAGGTCTTTTCTTTGATTACTCCCTTTATTCTAATAACCCTATCATAGTGATTAGGATGGGTTTTCAACTCAAACAACATTTACTCTGTTACCTGATGTCACAGTTGGCATGCTGGTGTCACAGTTAACTCTCAGGTATCTTTTTTTCCCTAAAAATGTGGTTACTGCTATTACCTTCTTTATAATGATTCAAAATGCTGTTGTGCACAGTAAGATGTCAATAAATAATAGCTATTTTATTAATCTATTCCTTTTATGATAATTATTTTTTGACATACAACTGCCCCCCAAATACAGTGTTATAGAACTGTGATTTAGAAAAAGGGATCTTGAGGGTGCCTGGGGAGCTCAGTCAGTTAAGCATTTCTTTTGCCTGAGGTCATGGTCTCTAAGTCCTGGGATCAAACCCCATATTGGGCTCTCTGCTCAGCAGGGAGTCTGCTTCTCCCTCTGCTTGCCACTCTGCCTACTTGTGCTTGTGGCCTCTCTGTCAAATAAATAAATAAAATCTTAAAAAAAAAGAAGGAGAAGGGATCTTGAGTCAGACTTTCTAGAATAAAAATTTTGTCTACTAATTTACTCTCCGTGTGGCCCTGACAAAGTTAATTAATCTCTTGTAGCTGCAGATACCTCACCTCTACAATGGGGGTGGTAAATAATCCATACATTGCAAGCCTGGTGAGTGAATTAAATGAGATCATGCATATAATATTTCTTCTATGGTTCTTGTGACATACAGAGGACACTTGAAAAGGTGAGTTTCTGTTCTTACCATCACAAAAATTTTATCTTCTATGGCTATCATTTATTAATATTCTACTTAAACTTGGGATAGCCATCAAAGAGGGAATTCTGATCATTATAAACACAACAGATCTGTAACCTCTTTTGACCACCACGTAGCACTTCTAGTTAATGAAGACCCTATGCCTCCCTCTTTCAGATACCACTTTCTAGGTAGATTCTTCCAAGAAAGAGGAAAAAGGATATGAACTACATAAATTAGAAGAGTGGAAAAAATGGCAAAATCATTAAAATAAAATACAAAGCACGTATGGGAGTGTATGCCCAAGTGTACATGTCTGCAAGTGGGGATGTATTATATTAAAAATCAGAGGAGTTAATTACAAAACATATTGGTTAACTTAATAAAAAATATTTAAAGATTCTATAAATCAATCATCTTAAAAATTTAAAGGCAAATTTAAGATGTGAAAATAAATGTTTATACCTTCTATAATAGAAAAAGTTTCAGTATTATTAATGTATATAGAATGCTAATTAATTAAAAGGAAAACAGAACCATTGGGGATCAACTTAACCTAGGGAGGTGGATAGAAAAGACTTCTCTGAAATCTGAATATCTGAGCTGTGAGAGGTAGGAAGAACAATTAATTAACTGTTAATTAAGGGAAATAAGGAAAAGGCACACATTTTGAGCAGAAAGAACAGAATTTATAGTTTTCTTCATGGTTGGGTGAGCTTGGTAATGGAAAGAAATTGAGAGGCCAGTGAAATGGAGAACAGACAGTGAAGGTCAAAGGGAAAGAGTGTATGAGCAGCACATGTGGAGCATCCTGTACTATTCCTTAGTGTGCTATCATGTTAGTAATTATATATATATTGTGAGTCAGAAACTGAGACTTTCTTAGCTCACCATTGTCTTTCCAGGGCCTTACATAGGGTCTGCACATAGTAGTTTTTCAATACTTGCAAATGTTAGATGTATAATAAAGATTGAGACCAAAAGTGTCAACTATAATACAAAAAAAGAATCTTCAAACTCATCATATACCTGAATGCAAACACAAAATAGAATGATAAAGTTAAATGCAATGCATTCATAATTGTTTAAAAGAATAATATATCACAAACAAGTCATACCTATTTTAGGAATGGAAAGATGGTTTAATGCTAGGATGTTTGCAAAAAAAAAAAACAATTCATCACAAATACAGGGAAATGAAGAGGAATAATAATCATAATCACAACAGAAAATGGATTTGAGAAAATGTAGCAGCCATTCCTGCGGTTAGCTGCCAGGATAGAGCCTCTCACTAAAGGAGGAAACTAAAAACAATTTCTTAACCTAATAAAGAATACCTGTTGAAAACTGCAGCAACAGGGTTCTCTACATTAAAACACTAAAATATTTGTGTTAAGTTCATGAAAAGGCCAAGGCAGTCCATTCCAACTTCAGTCATTCAACATTCTCATGAACATTTAAAGAGATTCATAAGAAAAATAAATCAGCCTGAGTACTCAATGCCAGAAGTAATGACATTATTTGTAGATACATTGTGGACACTAAAGGAAAACAAAATAATACAGAACTATCAAGTGCTATCAGCAAGTCAAATCTGCCAACAAAAATGGAATATAATAGAAAAATCCAATCACATGAGGAATGAAATAGTCAATACCTTGTGCTTAATAGATCTTCAGTTAATGAATAAATGATGGGATGGGTAATGGAACAGGAGCCTAGAATTCAAGGAATAGAATAGAGAAGAGGAGGAGACTCATTGGAAAATAGGAAATTTAGCAAGTGCTGGAAAGCCTGGTTTAAGGAGCAAGTAAAGCACCTTCATACTACAGAGACTTCAGCTTTGTACCTAAATATGGGACTGTTCCAGTTTCATTACTCTTAGAGGTAGATCTGTACCCACTTTCTCGCCCCATTCCCTCATACTCCTCCAGCCCTGACTGGGAAGCAGTGATCCTACCCTCTCTGATGGTTATCACTGAAGCTTTCTCTTCTCTGCAGTCTGTCCTGGAGCAGGCCATTTGGGTTTTCCCCCTAGGCTGGCAACAGAGAATTACAGGAAAGGGCCAACAGAGATATGTTATTATCATCCCAAAGGTTGTGTTCTTAGAGCTCTTCATTAAATAAATTGTCCTACTGACGTTCCTCTCTCTGAACAATTCAGCTCCCTTGGGATAGGAAGATGAAAGAATGGAAACATTTCAGACAATGCTGTGTCTGTGTAGAAAACAGTGGGCCAAGATGAAGGTATTTTCTTCAAGGAGGAATTCTTCTCTCTTTGGTTGACTTAAATGACAAAGTATCCCCTAAGGAACGTTGAACTCCTACAAGAACCAAAACCAGGAACGAGTGTTCTGTGATGTTCACTTGTTCACTCCTTGAAGAGTCTTTGGAGATTGCAATGATCACTTAGTCCACAGTGTCATGGAGGCAAAGAGGTCCTTTCTGGTGAAAAGTAGAGTGGTTAATAGTTTTGGTTCTATTGAAAGGACTAACCAAATGAGAACTGAAAATATTCCTTGACATTTACTGGTGACATGGACGCCTTTGTTGATATTAGGGACGGCTCCATTTGTTACCTTTAAAGTGAGGGATAGGGGCATAAACAATCCAGGTAGAGTGGGTTGATGAGTGACTATTGAGGAAATAGAGGTGCTGATATAAATCACCTATGACGTTTGTTAGGGAAGGTGAGGATAGAGGTAAATCATTGCATAAGAAATCATGGAGTAGGGATCCCTGGGTGGCGCAGTGGTTTGGCGCCTGCCTTTGGCCCAGGGCGTGATCCTGGAGATCCGGGATCGAATCCCACATCGGGCTCCCGGTGCATAGAGCCTGCTTCTCCCTCTGCCTGTGTCTCTGCCTCTCTCTCTCTCTCTCTCTCTCTCTCTCTATCATAAATAATAAATAAAAAAATTAAAATAAAAAAGAAATCATGGAGTATGGTTAGTTAACAAAATTTTTGTTTAATGGAAAATAAGGGAACGTGTTTGATTTCAAAGGGTATGACCATATTTATTTACTTCAGGCATTTAAATACAGAATACATTCTGACCACACAATTCACAGGACACATATACACTCTAAGTAAATGACAATCATAATGTGTTGTATCTCTAATGTATGGGATACATGGGTCCAGAAATCAAAGCTGTTAGTAGAAGCAGCCCTGTCTAATGTCATGCCTGGTGAGCAAATTTGGCAGTATTTGCTTCAGGTCTCCTCCACTCTGGCATCAGCAGGTTTAGAGGTCTTGACATCTAGAAGGTAGCATTTCCAGAGACAGAAAAAGTCCCATTGGGATGCCTGGCTGGCTCAGCGGTTGAGCATCTGCCTTTGGCTCAGGGCATGATCCCAGGTCCGGGGATCGAGTCCCACATCTTGGCTCCCTGTGAGAAGCCTGCTTCTCCCTCTGTCTATGTCTCTGCCTCTCTCTCTCTGTATCTCTCATGAATAAATAAAATCTATAAAAAAGTCAAGAAAAAGTCTCATTGAACTTCAAGCTATGTAACTACCTGGCACTTGAGGTCCCTCATGGCAGAAAGACGAGTCATCATCTCTACAGAGTTAATTTTTTTTAGAAGATTTTATTTATTTATTTGAGAGAGAGATAAAGAGAGAGAGAGCACAGAGAAGTACAGAGGAAGAGGGAGAAGCAGACTACCCACTGAGCAGAGAGCCCAACATGGAGCTCAATTCTAGGACCCTGAGATCA